TCTCTTTCCAACGCACACAGGGCGGTGTGAGATGCGCAAGAATCTTTCCTAACTCCCGCGTAGACTTTTATGTCGCGATATTTCATTCGATTCATCGCGTCGAAGAGTTATCGCGATGAACGGTTTAGGGAATAAGCGGGGCCTTTATTCGATCGTAATCTTTACGAGGCAGCAACAAGTTGGTAATACATTTTGCACAAAAATCTCATTCTATCTTTGTTTCCCCTGAAGCCGTCTCGCGACACTCTCTTCGGTTTTCTAAACTGCTTATCTGTTCCCGATCTTCAGAAGCGACTTCTCAGTCGTTTGCGTCGAATGCACGCTTACGGCTTTATAATCGCGAATTGTGTCGACAAAACTATTTCAATTTTTCATCAATTACTCCCACACGACCGCAGACATTTTATAGTTATTCCAGCAATTTTTGAATGCATCAGTTTTGAAATTTAAATACCGTCGATTGTTAACAAGAGTTGTCAAATGTATTTAAATTACGCGCGTGGCGCATTTTTCTTTTTTTATAATATGAAAATATTTTCTAATTTAAGCATTTGATGTAGAATCATGCAGTCAAATAATCAAAAGAAAAGGCTTATGAGCAGCCTGCGCGATTCCACGATTAAAGGAAAAGTACCAATACACTAATAACACTAACAACACCTAATTCTGGACATACTTATTGTTTTAGTTTTTCAATACGAATATTTAAACTTTCAACACAGAATACATACATATATTTAATATATGTACATTTATATTCTCTCTATATTGAAAGTTTAAATATTCGTATTTAAAGATCAAAACAATAAGAATATGTTCAGAGTTAGGTACTAGTATTATTAATGTTCAGACATTGGCTTACATTCAGACATTGGCTTACGTTCAGACCTTATCTTACATTTTCTCTATATACAAACCTATTTCGCTGGTGATCTTGAACGAGTTCACGTGTCAACATGTAGACGCACCAAGAATTTAGCTCGATATCGAACGATCCTAACACTACACGTGTGTACATATTACAAGTGAAAAAAAGTAGCACGTCCGTGCTGAGGTATATTGGTAGCGAAGGGGTTAATGGAGGGCAGCGTGCGCGGCGGGTGTTGAAGGCAGGAATAATGCGATGGAAACGAGCTCGCGCCCGATAGCGAATGCAGTCGCAACACGTGAAAATGGCGTTGTTCGACCTTATCAGGCGCGGCATGATTTATAGGTCCGCTCCGAAAGAGTTAATGGAGGCAAAATAGCGCGGGGTACACCATGAATCCTTCCGTATCGCCGGGCACTGTCGATGGTCCGTTCGACGGCGAACTCGCTCTCTATCGGCTGCCCGGATCTCCCTGCTTGAAACGTTCCCATAGGAGTATCGCCATGGCTGGAGCATTTCCAGCCACGAACGCGTACTCATTGCCCATGCCAATTATCGCATTGATAGTCCCTCTAATTATTGACGATATATTCAGTGACGATGTAACTGTTTTGTTACAATATTATCGCGCTTGATCGTGTAATGTATCGTAGGTGCGAGAGAGGAATTAGGTTATCTCCTCAGTGGAAAAATACCATTATCTTCTTGATATAAATATATGTGTATAAAGAGTAAACTCGATATATTAATACATAGGACGTAAATTTAAAAGTGTTATGGGTTATTGTTTTTTAAACTAAGCGAAATATAAAATTTTTATTTTCTATCAATCGTTTGTATCGAAGATAATTATTTGATGAAGTTAATTTTTTTCTAAATGGAATCGTTAAGATAAAATCATTTTGATTTTTTAACTGTCAACATAATAACCTGTAACATCTTTACATCCTGTACATAGAGGAAAGTTGTTGAAATCGTACCTCATTAATCATACCTGTATCTGATTGTTTTAATATTTATAGCATGTACAAAGTACAAGATATATCATCTGAAATGTTTTGCTTATATTTCTTATTGTTCATTTAAGTTTCATTTTTTTCCATTAAATGTCGTTCATATTCAATGACAATAAAGTAATTGGTACGATTTAGACCAATATACGATTTCGACAACTCTCCCCTATATACAAAATGAGTCAATATCTATTAACACCTGTTTTGAATATCTTCGAAACTATTCCATCCAAAAGAAAAGCGTAAATAGAACTTTTTTTCTAAATAGAGTAACTTCGAAAATCTCTGAAAATTACCTTTGTTTTTTATTTCGGAGATATTCAAGATAGCAATAATTATTGACTCACCCTGTATAAAAAAATAATATGTAAATATTATATTTTAAGAACTCACAAAATCGGCGCTCGTCTTTCGCCATCCCCTCCCTCCTTGAATCACTTGGGGCCGATTTTTCAATATTAATTTAAACTTGCATATAAGTTTAATTTTGCTCAAACACATCAGGGATGTTATTAAAGAGCATAGTTTAAACTGACATCAAAGTTTAAACTACTGTAGAAAAATCGTCCCTTAAACTCATTACTCATCTCTCACTTTCCTCTTCTGTCTTCTCATTTAGTTGAGCGCATATGTTTCGTCCTCCGTCCTATTTTACGCGACAACTACTTGTATTACATCGGGCTTTTTCGTTAAGCCGTGTGAGAACACCGGTACTTTTAGTTACTCCGGCTATACTAAAAGTAGTCTCATAGGCGATCAAAGCACGCGCTCGCATGTAATTTGCCGTAAATGCAAGTGTCACTGGCAATCGATGATTAACGTGACTGAAAAGGCGCGTTTTCGGTCGCACGGAAGCCCTTCGCGGGACGCAATTTACCACGAACTTTGATCATTAAACTTCTAAACGTGGTTTACGTTCGCGCCGGCGAATTCTCGCACGTGCGTCGAGATTGGTTGCACTGGTTGCTGTTTAAACTTCAAACGCACGATTATTGCTTTTATTACCGTGATTATTATTAGTAACAGGACGAGAGAGACTATAAGGAACAATCGGATTAAACGACTTCTTCAGAGTGTGCAATTTTACGAGCGTGTACATTGCTTCAGGAGTTTATAAACTGGATATCTAACAGAACAATCATTTGCAATACTCAACAAAAGATATACTGTTGTTGCTTATTGAAGTTTTTCTTCTTATTACATCCTTATTATATCCGCGATAACATGTGCATTTAATACGTTATAACGTCAGTAGTGGTCGCATCGCAATTGCGTGACGAAATTTGAAAAGTAAAAAGGATTATTTTCAGTCACTATTATAAATATTGCATGGCGTCATAAGTGCCGACTGAAATGACAAACATTTATTTTGTATTGTTAGCATTCGCAGAATAAGAGGGGGGAGGAGGAGAAAGAACTTAGAAATATTCAATATTCGAACATCACTGTATTCTATTTGCATTTAATCGTTACTTGTAATTAGCAGTTACCTTTAACTAGCAGCGTATTAATCATAAATATTATAATTATATGTATGTACGTTGTAAGTATATTATGATACATTAATTATTATAAGCACATTATAATTATATCCATTATGAACAATATATTATTACATGTTCGTTACTACGATATATTTCTCTTCACAGATCACGTTATATTTGTCTTCATGTAATTATTATATGTCTGTATTAAAACAGACTAAACTTTGTTTATATGCGGATGTGCAAAAAAAAATATCGTTAGGTTCTTTTTAGTTGAACTGTCTGAACTGGTGCAATAAGTTAAAGTGAAACAAAATATATTTGTCTCATTCTAACTTATTATACTACTATGCATCAGTTCAGACAGTTTAGCTAAAAAGAACAGACCTGTTATCGTACACATGTGACGTTGATAGCGAACGTATTAAGTAAATTTAGAAATTTTGAGTGAAGGTGCACTTAAAATGAGAAATGGGTGCGTCACACATGTAGCAAGCATGGCAATGTTATGTAACTTGATTGTAAATATAGTAGGATGAACAAATATTCAATAATCTAATGGAGATTGATGGATGAATACGCAAACAAAACAGTAAAGTTGGTCTTTTTATAATTTTTGTATTGTTATCTTTCATTAAAGATAGAAATTTTAATGGATATTTATCCAAGGTTGAAAGGAAGAAACAAAGCCAGTAGTTGTACCTTTGAATGCACCAATAGAGATTTGAATTTTGATTCGGTACAATGGCAAAGTGCAATTAACAGAAGTAATTAACAGAAAGGCATTTCAAGATGACAATCGCGGTCCAAGAAACATTGTTAGAAGCGCGAACTATTATTCGCCAAGCTCACAGTGGATTTTAAATTTCACCCATGTGATATTTGCGGGCAATTAGCGACTCGTCTTTATAACGTTACGTTAGCAAAGTACGTCGTGCATTAGACCGTGACGTGCCCTCCCCTTTATTACTTTCGCCATTCGAATATGCTAATCTCGTACACGCGTGCGAATAATACCAAGGAGAGAGACACATTGTATTTTTATGAACTTTGTTGTATTTTTGTCGCTCTCTCTGTGCCCCGCGTGAATGACGGGTACGAGAGAGAGGTTTTTATTCGGTCGGGGTGCACCGACACATTGCACCCCGACCGAGCCGTCGGGGAAAAGCCGGGGCGAGATGCGACAGTGAAATAGATTCCGTGGCGGGTCGGCGCGCCGTCGTATTTTATGTCACCCGTATTCTCGGTCATACTTAGATAGCCTGCACGAAGCGCGGATATTTTTAACATCGCGACTCGGGAAACTCGAAATTCCCAGGCCTCGCGCAGCGACTCATTGCGGCTCGCAATATTTGATCGATTTTCCACGGTCTGCCGGGCTTGCTCTCCGAATCGAAACGACACAGCAGAAGTGACACGGCGGCTACGAGGAAAATCGATGATCGCAGATTCGCAGATTCCGCGCGTGTTCCATTACAGTTCCAACGATCCGACGCGTTAATGTTCACTATAATTTATGCATTACGAACTGCGGTTGCCCCGATATCGCGCGCGCGAGGGGCACGATATATAAGCGTGAAGGTAATTGCTTTAATTTCCACGAATTAAATGCCGCCCCTTTTGTTTCTGTTTCAGCTGTATCGATACACGTACCTGGCCCATTACGGGATCGTGAACCTGGAAACTCTGTAAGTAAACGAGCCGTGTCCCGACGGCGCTCGCGACAATCATATCTCAAATTTATTCCGCGATCAAGTTCGGATTTGCATTTTAATCTCGGCACTACCGTAAACCGAGAAGGGAGTGTCGGAAAAGCCAAGCGCGGCGCCGCGTGCAAATTACAAACTGCGCACGAATTTAATCCAACCTCGTCTTACCGTCACCGCGCCGCCGCCACCTCTGCTTCCATTCCGCGTCTGAGAACTTTCCTTCGTGGATTTGATCATTAACTCAGCATTTAAGAGTGGTTATATCACGATTACGGAGTCCGCTTTCCCCAACTGCCGTAATCTCGTTCTTTCTTCCCCTCTTCCCCTCTTTCTCTCTGTCTCTCTCTTTCTGCCCTGTGACAATATTTAAAGCTACCGTTTAAGGCCTAAACTTTATTCGCACGATTGCACTTTTCACGGCCACGATATTCGTCGGTCTTTGCGGAAATGGCACAATTATGCGCAACGCTTCTTAGTAAACAATTACCTTGCCCCTTCTCCTCCTTCCCCATCTGTGTCATCTCTGTGCGCTCTTTCAGCTTTCGCGCACGTCGACAGATGTATATTCCCTCGCGTACTAGATTCGCGGCAGTTGATTAATTCCTGATTAGTTTTGACGAATCACTATTATAGCTAGTGAAATTGAATTCGATATTCAATTTGATATCGATGCTAATTTCCATGATTTATTTATCACTCGCATTCGTTAAATGCATATATATATATGCGTGTTTAGTTTAGCCGCATTTAGTTATCTGAATATACTTGTTCAGGCCGAAATATCTATAACATTTGATGGAGGTGCAAATTTCCTTTTAGTTAATCGCAACTTCAGTCGACCGCAATTTGGAATCAGCGTAATTATTGTAACTGAAAGTTTACTTAATCGTAACGCGCTTGACAGATTTTTTTTTGTGCACGCACAACAACTCGAAAGATTTGAGAGAGTGCCGATTGAAATAAAAAAAACAATAGAATGTAAAACCACGATTCTCCTGTGGTATATCTGACATCACCCGAGTCAGTCGTAAAAGCCGCGAAATTTCGTGGACAAATTTTTATCGATCGCGCGAAACCGCGAGGACTTTCTCGAAATCCATGGAAATAGCGTCGTTTCCTAAACGCTTCCTCGGGAGGAAGCGGCGAATGCTGAAGTTTGATTCATTCACACGGAACCACCTCGTCCTAAATCTGACTTGACCCGACCTCGTCCTGAACCTGAGGGAGCAATTCTGCGAAATTTCGCTGTTACATGTGGATGCCCACAGACTCGGCGGACGCATCTCACGGTTTGGGCTCTCGCGTCGCGCTTGAGATCATCGCTCTCAAATAGTCGCGCAGATCAAATCTTGGCCCTCTGCTGAGCGCATTTTGCAAGCGCAAAAGCTGCTCGTCATCTCTGTGCGCGCACCACTGTTTCGTGGTTTAACCGCATAACTGCAGCAAACATACGTATGTACGTGAACGTATGTGCCCCGTTATGTCGAGTTCGAGTCACTTTCGCTGATCCGGAAAAAGTCAAATTTTCGGGACAGTGAAATGTCCCAAAGACAAATAGTTTCGACATGTATAGACTGAAGTCGAGAATATAAATAGTTTGAAAGTATTACTCTGGTTTCTTTCGTGCCATATAACCTGCAAAATGAAAACAATTAACTCTAAAACTTTAAATATACTTGAATTTTAGGGAACATGCGAAACAATTATAAAAGAATAGAATATCTGGTCAATCAAAAAGTTTATTTTATTTTTCTGCTTTCTTCGGCAGCCACTTTTTACATTGAGAGAAAAAATGTCTAAGAAATGAGGAATATTTGTATTTCGGTGGTTATTAATAACATATTTACTTAAATTTTAATTCTTTTATTTAAATAAAATAAATTGCTTTTATACAGAACTAAGGTTCTATCTCTAAGAAAATTCTATATTTCTTTATTTTTGTGTGAAAAAAATATCCTATATTAGTATAAGTAAATATTATATAGTAAAAATATTTCGAAAAAATAAATTTATTTCGAAAAATATTTCGAAAAAATAAATTTATTTCTTGGATATTTTTTTTCTCAGTGTACAACAGAGATGTATGAATGCTGCCAAAATATTCTGCGGCTAAAAATCACTTGAATTACGTAATGAATAATTTGTTTCCGTTGAATGCAATAGTCAAATTTGACTGAGAGATCGAGTCGAACTTTTTGATCCAATATTACTAATACTTCTTCAATGACACATGACATGTGAACATTAACGGTATTAATTTAGCTACATATGGATTCAATAACGTATTAAAGTGATCGCGTTTATTTGATACAGTTTTATAGTTGCTTCGCCGGTGGAACATTGGTGTTAAAAATGACCTTCTGAGATGAATATGTAAATTCTAATCGTGCTTCATACTTGGACGTAACTAACGTACGCGCGGCGATAAATATTACAGTAACGAAAACAGGACTTGCGAGAGTAAAGCGTCTCGTGCGCGGGAAAAGTTAATGTCCTCGCGGGAGTTTGTTTTCTACTGCCAAATCGGCGGGACGTTTTTGCAAATACACAAATTTCGCAAATATCCTTCTCGGTCCTGGTATCCAGTCAGCTGGACATTTTTCCTATAACCTGATTCTTCTTACACTTGAAGGATGCAGAATCATAAATGTCCAGCATGCTGGACTATTGATTAATCCGGGGAAATTTATGTTTTAGTGTTTTTGAAGTCTGATAGCTGCACTGTGAAATACAAAAAAACTAAAAATTCTGGAAAAAATATATTTATATTTTAGTAATCCGTGAAGTCAACCGTTTGTTTGGCATACTTAAGAAAATTTAAGGAAAAATTTTGAAGTGTTTAAATGATATCTCCTGAGTGCAGTTTTAAAAAATATTGCTTTTATTTATAATAAATCAGCACGAATCTATATTATCTAATAGCAAAAATCAATATTTCTGAGCACCGACGAACAAAACAAGTAAGATGTTGCTTCATAACAACAGTGCTGAATAAATGCGCCTATATCTGTCATTCTTGCATATAGCTCATGAGAAATCGATGTTGTTTGAGTAATAATAAATTGTCAAATAAAGAATTAAGAGAAACCTGATAATATAATAAACCTGATATATAGTAAACTCAATATAAAAACCCAATACAGTAAAACTTTCATGAGATAAAATTTTGCCCTAGGATTGAGGAGAATAAATAAACATAAATTTTGTAAGGAACTTATTGCCGCCCGTTTTGGTTCGCTACATTTCATACTCCGAAAAATACCCGTTGTTGTTGCACGGCGGTCGCTCTAAATCGCGGGGAAAATCATTCTTTTGTGTCAAAACAAACGCGTAATATACGACGAATAACGCGAGATTATGGCGCGTATTATTGCGCGCGATATATCGTACATTGGAGCACATTGCCCGTTTTCCTAAGAATATGCGTTCAACTTTTCTATGCCATAAGCAAGCACCGTCAGAAATGCAGGCGTTGTGTAAGAATAATCACGCAATATAGAATTTATTTAACCGTAAATTTTATTATATAACGCGCGACTTTTCGTTTGCTTGTGAGGGGAAATTTTTCATATTGAGAAGAGGAATAAACCTTATACCGCGTGCACTCTCATCTCCCTCTCCCCGAAACCCACAAAACGAAGAATAACTGACAATTTCGATTTTAACGTCCATCAACGAGAATACATTCTCTCAGACATCGGGGGATCTAAAACCACTCTCCGATGTGTACGTGAGCACGCGGAGGTAAGGGGACACGGCAATGTATAAGAAAGTCCGTCATTTCAAGTTACACCACGATACATCCCACACACTAGACGGAATCGGGACGGACAGACCTTTGTAAATTTCGTACTGACCCTACGTTTATTCACGCACGGCGGCAATCACGGTGCGGAAAACGGTCGAGGTTAGTAAACTCTGCCGCCGTTTTTGGCTTTCGGTGTCGCGATAAAAGGCAGCACGGGTACATACCGGATCCGTGTGTTGTGTGAGCGAGAGTAAAAGGAGAGAGAGAGAGAGAGAGAGAGAGAGAGAGAGAGAGAGAGAGAGAGAGAGAGA